CGCCTTCTCGTGCCCTCCTCCTCCATTTCCTCCCTCGATGGAGGAGCCGGGGGTTTAGAGGTCGCTGACGTAATTTAGAGCATGTTTGACATATCATTTGAAGTTACGAATGGCAAATTAAGTACAACCAAGAAAGAAAGCATTAAGTAGCTAAAGAGTATACACTACTTTCTAATCTTCATGGATTTCAAAGACAATCATTTTTAGAAATATTATGAAGTAACAAAAAAACACAAAATCCAATCCTCTTAATAGAGACCAATAGAATCTCTTTATCTCTTATATCATTTAGATCCTGTTAATAGAGACCAATAGAATCTCTTTATCTCTTATATCATTTAGAGACAAAGGAATAAGAATAGATGAGATATAAAACCAGTGGTTTAACTTTACATGCTTGATAAAACAAAATGGTAGAGTGGGCATATATATAAGATGTTCAAAATCTTAAAGCATGCAAAATACATCTGGTACAAACAATTCTACTTTGTTCTAATTAACCTGCATATTTAAGAAACAACAATTGTACTCTTTTTCGGAGACAAACTTATATCAGCTAATGATACGGATACATATCAGTGGCGATTATCATAACACCTTCCATGTGCATATTATCCATATGTTATAATGGACACCCCTATCCATGGCCAGCGACGCCTTAGGCTCGCTGGTTTGGTGTTGCCCCCGTAGAGTCAACATGGGTTACAATCTTATAGGATTCACAAAGACAGAAGATACTGAAAATAAATCAAACACAATGGTCTGAACCCAATGACGCTAACTTATGGAAGCCATAGCCCAGTTGATAGACAATGAATCCAAAGACTGACAACTAATGGTTTTATCATCAACGAAGAATAAGAAACACATGTTGAAACCATACACAGGGCGGAGCCACCGAGGCTGCTGGTGCCCCCCGATAACCTCTAGCTTATCTGCTTTTTGGATATGGCTTTTGACAACAGTGTCCAATCTTCCGCAAAAAAAGACAACCGTGTCCAATGGCACCAGGCTCGTGCTAGCCAGACCTACACACATGGGCTCCTCTGACCAATGTAATCGGAAGTATGCCAACCAAACGAATAATAAGTGTATACGTAATCCAAGGTTTGCAGGTGATTGTGCTGAATTTTCTAACTATTTTCTGAATATGTAACAGAACGAAACTAAACGACGGGAAATAAGGGTTAGGTGTGTTAGATAATAACGAGATAAAACGAGACACGAGAGACACGGATTTTTACGTGGAAACCCTTGCGGGAGAAAACCACGGACGCACGAAGACGTATCATTATAATTGGGAGGAGTATTACATTACACGAGAGGACAAACCCTCTACGTGCTAATCTGGTGGAGATCTCTCTCATCTATTTTATGACTAGCTAGTACTATATAAAGGGGCAAACAACTCTCTTTCTTGATGGACACGAAACAGAGTTGTAGTCATGCTACGTCTAGCACGGTTGGCATGCCGTAGTCCGGTAGGACTCCATCCGTAGTACAATACTTGTGTGGGATTCGGAACACAATAAAATAACACTCCACCTTGAGACGAAATCCCTTACAATAATCATAGATAGCATCAACTCCCCAATTAAAGTCATCACAAGTAAACCTTGTGCCTGGAAACGTCCATAGGACTAATAAACTTCTCATGAAGTCATATTGAGCAAATCAATCAGTAGGTCGTCCAGAAAACAGCACAACTATCAACAAAGCAGACTAACAAAACTTGGTCTCCCAATAAAAGTCTAAGTCTGTGCCACTGACCTCAAAAACTGAAACTGCTCAATCATCGAATGACATAAGTCATCATATCTCCTGTGGTGCCTGAACGAGCGCATAGCTCGTAGTGCAACATCTTGGTGCACATCGCATTGTGAAGAACTCATCTCACGGAATCTGAACGTGCTTCCAAACAGAAAGCACAAACCTCGGCAAACAATACTCATGCAAGAGCATATGGTACGGATGGCATCGCGTGCACCCAAAAAACTGCCGAATTGTGAAAATCCATGACATGGTCATAAATTGTCCTTGTAGAACAACTGTCGGATGAAGGAACCATCTTAACATGCAACGGAGTTTCAACTCTGCAATAGACCCCTCTTGAAAGAGCAAAGACAACTAAATTGCACTTGAAACTTAACAGTGCTAAATGTTGTAGTATCTAGCAGAAACAAAACAATCTCCTTCTTGCACCTCAACTGATTCTCATCACGAACAATATCAAAACAAAACCTTCACATGCATAACAGCAAAACACTATGGAGAGAATAGTGTATATGCTGGCTACCAACAGGCTTAATAATTACTTCCTCCATACCCTTTTTTTTCTTCTGATAACTGAATTGTGATCTTCAAATAACTGCAGCAAATTACATCCATTATCCCGACGGCCATAATCCCCAAAACTCCACCTTGAAGAAAAACTGAGTGCATCCTGATAATTGGCTTGCGCCAACAACGCTCGCATCTCGACTTGCCATAGGGTAAACCTTGCGTCACGATCCAGCAGCGAAACATCGTACTTATGGATGTCATGAATAGATTAAATCTGTGTCCACAAAGTAGTACAAGACGATAGAAAAATTCTTGACAGAATTAATATGCAGATCAGACGAAAAATAGGATAAATAGCACTGGTAGTGTTTATGGGAGCAACGGGGTATACTGCACAATAATCAACGTGCACTGTAGCCTTCAAGTGATGAACATGAACAGTAGTACTACCACGGAGGACTTGAAATCAATCGATCTCGAAGAACGAGCTGATTTGTTGGAATTGCTCACGTACTAGAAGCGAGTATACCAAAGATTGATTGACTGGGTCTTCACGTGGAGATGTAGCAGCTTGAACACGGGAACAAAAAATCTGATCTGTAGATCAGCCTCGGCGTCCACTTGTGAAGTAGTAGCAGCTACAGTATGATCACGTGAACTAGTACTAGTCAAAGTACTAATCGGGTGGCTTTTGTCTCCAAGTAGTAGCAGTGACCCGGTGGATCGGTTTGCTCCTCGGGAGCCTGTACGTGCGTTGAGCAGCAGCTGCAAATCTCCTCGGGACTTTGAATGAGCAGCAACAGCAACTCGGCGGATCGCTGTATGTGGAGCAGCGGAACTCGGTGGAACGGCCAGCTGATGTGAACGCTGCGTACTCGGGGCTTCAAGCGTATATACGCAGCAGCGGCAACTTGCGGATTGATATGACGCGGCGTACGGCGGCTCGGCGGCTGAAGCTTGTGTCCGTCTCGATGAACTGCTCGGATAGGAAATTGATCAGCGGCAGAATACTTGTCGGTCTTGGCTACAGGGTAAATCGATCCGCCACGGATCGCCAGACGTGTGCGGCGGCGCAGAACGAACCCTAATCCCTTGATCTCAAATCTCGTATGCGATTTCAGATCAACTTGGCTCTGTATACCACTAGTTAGATAATAACGAGATAAAACGAGACACGAGAGGCACGGATTTTTACGTGGAAACCCTTGCGGGAGAAAACCACGGACGCACGAAGGCGTATCATTATAATTGAGAGGAGTATTACATTACACGAGAGGACAAACCCTCTACGTGCTAATCTGGTGGAGATCTCTCTCATCTATTTTATGACTAGCTAGTACTATATAAAGGGGCAAACAACTCTCTTTTTTGGTGGACACGAAACAGAGTTGTAGTCATGCTACGTCTAGCACGGTTGGCATGCCGTAGTCCGGTAGGACTCCATCCGTAGTACAATACTTGTGTGGGATTCAGAACACAATAAAATAACAAGGTGCAAGCTAAAAAGGAGAAACAGAGTTCACCTAAATTGTTCATCAAGAGTAAAAAGATCACACGGATCCTCTGTTGAGAGAGAATTGCCCTGTAGAAGCAAAACAGAGACGTGAGGAATCAATGTATTTGGAGATTTTAAGGATCGAAAGAAAGCAAAAGATTACTCCAGGTACTTGGTTCACTTGTTCCTTCTTTTTCCATCTGATGTTGATATACCTATAGATGAATGTGGCATATCATATTGTCAGCGCAAAAAAGTAACCAACAACTCAGTATTTCTTCGTAATGGAAAAAAATTAAAAGACATGAAAAATACAAGATTTGGAGTTGACAACCTTCTCCTCAATGGTTCCAGGGCTTAAGAACATGTATATGTGCACTCTCTTCTTTTGTCTATCTGTCCATACTCTAGCATCAACCTTTGCAAGTGTCAATAGTTGAAAAGGTTCACCTCAGACAAGGTGTGTGGAATTAAAAGGAACCTTCAGAAGGTGATAAATAGTGATGTGCAGATATTAACCAGCTTATCATTGGCAACTGTGGCTCAAGTGTACTTTAAAACTAGAAGCATGGTTTAATTCATGCAAGCCAAACAAAACATCTGCAACCCTTAGCTGAAGCAACCTTGGTTGGTTACCTGTTCCAAGGATTCGGTGACCGTAGTAGTCAAATTGTGAAGAAACAATGTGTTCTATAAACCAGCGTTGTTTCATTGGCCGGCTCTATGGAAACCTCAAAACATATCTGCAGAATAAAATAAACTATTATCACCGTGCAATAATAGAAAAGCATATGTTCTATCAGCGGAGATACAAAACAGACACAAATTATCATTCATAACGACCAGGAGGCGATGCAGTGCGAGAGGGTTCAGACGGGGCGGGGAGGACCAACCGGAGGTGCAGGCGCAGCGCTGGCATCCATGGCGAAGTCGTGGACCGGCGACCGTGGCGCTAGGGTTAGCCGGGGCCGCGCGTAAAGGAGCGGCGCGTCAGATCAACACGGTGGAGAGGGTGCCTTGCGTGTGCTCCTCCTTTGGTGGTGCCTCGGCGTTGTGGATGACGATGATGACATGGAAGGCCGTGTGGGGGCGACGGTGGGCAGCAATGAGTCGACCAGATCTAAGGGGGTTGGCAGTGAGCTCGCTCGCCAAACCCTATGTCAAAGCTGGGCTCGCTGCTCGTAACGAAGCGGGGGCTAGGCAGGGTATTGAGGCGGCAGCCTCATCCTGGGAGCAGCGCGAGAGGAGGCTGCAGCTGCGTGACGGTCGGCTCTCCGCACGACTTGGGAGTGACGTCTTCTCCATGCCGAGGAGAAGGGTGACGCTGACGCCCATGGTGCTTCTTCAACACGTCATCTTCATAGCCGTAGCGGTCTGTCATGCAAGGCACAGTGATTTATCAATTCCAATGAGAATACATTTTAACCCTAAATGCTCGCAAGAATCCAAAGAAACACCACATACATGCTAGCAACGACATATTAGTTTTATTTCAAAGAGGCAAAGCATCAGGCTTCTAGAATCAAAAGAGAGTTAAGTTAAGTAAATAGTACAAAATCATATTTCAAAGAGGAAGAGCATCAAGAAGGCAATTTAGACAACACAACAACAACATGAGTTAGTATATTTAAAATTAAATGCTGGAAGACACAAATTGAATTTCACTATACAGTAAAATGTTGGACACACACAAACATATGCAACACTGTAAATTCGGTCAAACTCCAGCATCTTGTCCTTATGAAATAACAGTTCAGTTACCGCATTTACCTCGATATTCTCTCGATGAATCCAACATCGGATGACGGATACTGAAAGTATACAAAACGATTGGCCATACAAAAGGTGGACGTCAGAAATCACAAATATCAAATAAATAACAGAAAGGTGCTCTGAACCAAAATCTTCTCTTCATAAACATAGAGAAACATGGGTGAACAGAGCAATCTTACGTCATAATTTTAATTTTGTTGTGTAGCATTAGTTGGAAAGAGAAGTATAGAAGAGCATTTATCTAGCCTAACCATGAGTGAAGGAAAGTTGTAAATCTGCAAGGTAGTCAAAAACAGCGTCGAGCTTGATTTAAAGATCTGCTTCATCCATGACACATCTATACTCAGTCATAATGTACATCAAAATGGTATGGAAGATGAGTTCTACATGTTTTCATGTCCACTGATTACGAATAGAAATGTAGCATTGAACCTAAATCAATCCTCTGATTGCGTACATGTCATGCCAGTTTATACACTTATAAAAGCAGCTATAGCATTACAGTCATCGTCAGGGTATGCGTTACCACAAGACAAATAAAATTGAACCATCTAAGTTCCACGTTGACTCCACTTGGGATCATATACACATGAGTCGGCTAATTGGGTTGACAGCAAAGGAAATGATTCACTATCCTGTTTTGGTAAGGTCATGGCAGTTGAATCAACCACTTGTAGATATCTAAGTAGTAAAGTGCATCAGACCTCAACGCAACAAAGGTACATTAAAGCTAAAATTGGCATTAGTTGTTTGTCACCCGTCTTGGCATTAGAAGTTAAACATCAGAGTTCATTGCATTTAGTGAGACAGAACAATATAAAGAGAGGATATGTTAATTATAGATTTCAATCTAATTAAACGAAACTAAATGAGTGACGTGTACTGCAATTTACATCAAATAAACTATAGATGCAACATATATGCTTTGCTCTTCTCGCCGACAAATACGCAACAAATAGTAGATGGAGCTTTCTATGAAGCTTTCTTTGACAAAAAGAGAGAAGATTTTGACTATTCACTGGACATAATATAAGTTTGAAGGCACTGGTCATCTTGTGAAGACGCGATCTGACTCTCCAGTAGACACTGATATGTGCAAGAACTTCATATCTCAGTCATGTTTTTGGAAACAGAACTACCGACATGGCAGATAAAAAAACTAAGGACTCTTGCTATAATTAAAAGGATAAGAAAGAGAAAACCTAACCTTTAATACTGAGTTTGTTAGCCAGCTTGAAGCTACTATGCAAGAAAAATCTGATGGCTTGTGCTGTAGGATTAGTGTACAAGAATTAGAAGGGGATAATCAAATCTGTTTTGGCATTTTATATAGCAGGTCTTGTATAACTTTTTTTGGCATTTTATACAGCAGGGCTTATCTTTGCTGCCCCACGAGAAATAGCACACACAACAACCGAGAGCCCATCTAATCCTCGTCAAGGTCCTAGCTAGCAAGGTATGTTGGAACTGGAGTTGTGCATGTATCCCCATCTACAACGCCACCATGTCGACATGAACAAAATCTGCCGCACTGGTTTTCGATTGAAAATAAACCTACAATGGAAACCTTTTTAAGAACTGAAAGGGCCTATTCAATAGAGGGGCATCATGGAAATATTTTGAAATACAATCATGAAATGTGGAAAATGCTCTGGACCTTCTGTTGTTTTTGTTCTTAGCAAAAATAGGCTGCAGCCTCATTTGAGGAACCTTCTGTTGATAAGCATTCGTGGGGCTTCATCAGAGCACTACATGAAATTCAGTCAGTTTCTATAATGGGCAACCATAGATAAAAGGGACACATCCAATTCAAAATTATCTTGAGCTGTTGTGATATTTCACCAAAAGTAACATGATGCAAAAACTCATGTACCAACCTTCATGTATGCAGCTGCAAATTAGTTATGATTTTGCTAGCACTATTTTTATGAGAAAAGTAAAAGGAGAACCTGATCAGTAAGTTGTCGTTGGTACTTAAGCGTTCTCAAACTACCATTAATCAACAACTTCATAGGAAATCTAACCTTGTACTATTAGGTGAACCCGTAGTGCTGCTTGTATGCCTTTTTCTCTCCAATATATATCATTAATGCATTTTGCTAAGCATCATACATACATAAAAGAAAAGGAAAAATAAGATCAAGCAAAACACACCATAAAAATTGCAGGTTCTTGATCCAGTGTCACCTGCTTGGCTTGCTTCCTGTACATTGTTTGCACTGGCCACTCCTGAGTATCTGAATCAGTTGTAGAAATCAAACTCAGATGTGGAGAAAGGGAAAAAACATGGATCGATTAGAGGCATTAAATTGGGGATCAAAAGGAGATTGGACGGGAAGAACATAAGAGAAGTGGGAGAGAAAAAAAGGGCGGAGGAACCTCACCTGTTCGTCCATGGAAAGAACGACGGCGACGGTGCCGCAGCAGCCATCTCGGAGAGCCATGCTCCACATGCCATCTTCCTATCGCCTCCTATTGCAGCCGTGTTCTCGGCGGCCGACGCTCCTCCCGGCGATGGCACGCGCGCAAGTCGTCCCACTCGCAGAGGTGGCCGCCAGGCCCTTGTACGGCAGCGCCCAGTCGCCAGCCTTCCTGCTCTCCCTGGCACTCATGGTCGCCGTGTCCGGGTGAGGAGGCTGGGGGCGGCGCAAGGTTTATTGATAGTTTAAAATATGATCTCCAATTGCAGGTTCAAGGAATTGTTCTCAGCGTCATTCAATGGAGGAAAGATAATGCAGAGGGGGTGGAAGTAAATTCCTGCAGATTCCCTATCATCCTATGTTGGTCTTCAACATGATTGTTCCAATGTTTTCCTATACGGGAAGAAAGAACAAACATAAAAATTATAGACCTGGCTACTTTAGCATGTATATGATTATGATCCCAAAAAGTAACTGGTTCTGTTGTGTGGAAAAAAGGCGAATCAACAGAAATAACATCTCCTTGTGTGTGCACTCGACCAAAATAAATGACCCCTTACATGGAGATATGTTTTTATCTCGTTAGCGCGATCCACATACTATAGAATTACCAGCTGGTGATACTGACCGTCCTTTAAAATTCAAGTTAGTTTGCTGGAAAAACACGAAATCAATGACCAGTGGAAACATAGGATCAAGAATAGCTATTACCTGCCCACGAACATAATTTTACAGAGTGAAAAGAAAACAGCAGCCCAAAAAGAATAGTTATTACTTGCCCGCAAGATCAACCAAGGCAAGATTTCCAGGAAGAACTTGACTACCATATCATCCTTTCTGCTTGTGTTTTACAGTAAAAAGAGAGGAACAAACAGTATTTTTCAAGTGAGCTATTAACTGATCGTATTTGTAACTGTCTTTGTAGACTCACAATCTCAACATTTTAGACTATGCTATTCTGTCAAATCAAACCATATTTGTACTTGGAGATATAAAAAAGAAAAAGACTCAGTTTGGTCGTCCACGTGAACGCCACTGTGAGAAAGGGCTCCCGTTCTTTCTCCAGGCAGTAAAACAAACTCAAAGTATACTATGAACTCAATTGATCTTGTCTCTCTAATTAATAATCTAAGAAGCAGCAGGTAATTGGAGTACTGACCACAACATGGGGCTCGAAGGGGTGCTATTCTTCAAGGAGTGGGAAGATGGGGGCGACATCGTGGTCCTCCATCGTGGCCTCCTGTTCCTCTCCGGATCTCCCCCACGACCTCCATGGCCTCCTCTTCTTCCTTGCCCCGTGACCTCCATGGCCTCCACCCCTTTCTCCTAGTTCTCCCATGTTGGCGAACGAGCAAGAGGAGGCAAAGGATTAACTGCTTGAATCGAAGCCAAGAAGGGGATAGTGACTGCTTACATCAAGATAGAAGCCCAAATTGCTCCGGCGCCCGCCCCGACCGCGTCGCCACCTGCTGCGCGCGCGACATCAGTGAACGGAGCGCCACGGCCGCGCCGTCCACCACCGCCACGGACGCCATCGCCGGCACCGTTGATCTGCTGCTCTCCTCTGTGACCGCTGCCGCCGTCGCCGGATGAGGAGCGAGTGAGGGAGGGAGGCGGCTGCGGGAGGAGTCGAAGCAGACGGGCGAGACGGCAGGGCGGGACGGCGGGGCCGCGGTCATCGGCCACGGCCACGGCGAGCGGGACGGGCGGGGCAGGGCGGGGCGGTGGGGCGGGCGAGACGACGGGGCAGCGGGACGGCGAGACGGCGGGGCCGTGGTCATCGGCCACGGCCACAACGAGCGGGACGGGCGGGGTGGAGCGGGGCGGTGGGGCGGGCGAGACGGCGGGCGGCAGGACGGGCGAGACGGCAGGGCGGGGCGAGTGGATAGAGTTCACCAGGGGAGCCGGCCCTTTTATACCCCCACCACGCGAAATTACCAAAATGCCCTGGTGGGGGCATGGTATTTACATTATGTTGCCATTACTATTCATTCCAGCAGTGTTTCTTCCAGATCCGACGGCCCAAATCCTTCCATCTTTCGATCCAACGGACGAAAACGCATCAAGAGAACGCATCCAACGGCCGAGAGTGCCTGAGCTCTGAGAGAGCTCGGTGGAGCCTTCTTCTCTTATTTCTGGATGCCTGTTGTGAACTCGGCCTGCTATAACATGAACCATGACCCATTGCAACCAAGTCTAGTGAGTCATGACTTGATCTCGCTTGGTTGCTCCAATGTATGACGTTCCTATTGAATGCAACTTAGTGGTTACTTCTCTTATGTTCATGCGTTCCCTTTTTTTTTTGCGGGTAGAAATATTGTATTACTCAAGCCAACAAAGAGTTACATTCAGCGGCGACTAGCTCAAGCACTATCGGGGGACCAGAGCCAATCCAAGTCATGGTTCTTCCCTCGGTACGAGCAAAATTTGCTAGACCATCGCTAACCTGATTTTGAGACCGGTTTACATGAGTAATACAACATTCACGAAGGGATAAAAGATATCTAATCTCTTTTACTAAAGAAGCATAAATAGACCTATCTGTCTCCTGTCCTTGAATCAGCTTTATAGCAACAAGTGAATCCAACTCAATGGTCACTGGACGATCACTTCTCTGGATCGCTAGAGAAAGACCTTCCATGCAAGCACCCAGCTCTGCCTCCAAAGCTTCACGACACGAGTAAAGTGTTCTGCAAGCTGAAAAGATTACATCCCCCGAAGGATCCCGTAATACCATACCTGCACCTGCCCTACCATCATGAAAAGAGCCGTCCGTGTTTAGCTTTACCCACCCTTCCGGTGGTGCAGCCCACTTCAGGGCGGCCGGTACGGGCGCATCAGCATGGGTTAACGTGCGATCAAAGGAGATAATTGACTTCCCCTTGGCTGGATCCATATGCATGTTCGTTTTGATAGCAATTAGTGACTCCAGATAGCTGACAAGGAACCTCCTCGATACCTCAAGGGGAGGCGGAATCTTATTGTGCACTATCTCATTACGAATGAACCAACACCTCCAGAGAGTCATAAGAAGCATGGACCTCTCTAATTCATGAAGTGGCTGTAGCACTTGGAACAGCCATTCCTTCCCAACATTCTGAATGGTATCCACCGGTGGGAGGTTCCAAACCTCTGACATATAGCACCATAATTCTCTTGCTCTAGGGCAGCGACATAGAGGATGGAAGTTGTCTTCCGGTTCCACACCACACACCGGACATATGCTGGTGATTTCTAAGGTCCTCTTATGCTTGTTAACCCAAGTAGGAAGGGAATCTGAGACCATTCTCCAAGCAAAGTTTTTGACTGTTGGAGGAACATCCGTTTTCCATATCAGGTTCCAGATGGCCCGGCAACCCTCTGGATTAGTGCTAGACGCAGGTTGAGATTCTCTGTTGGCTTCCTCAAAAGCAAACTCATACGCCGACTTCACCGAAAATTGTCCAAATCTCCCTGGTCCCCATGCAATTGTATCCTCTTCAAGCCTTGGAGACGCTCTGATTTTAATGATTTCATTCACATCACAAGGCCAAAAAAAATTCTGCAGCAAGTTCAAATTCCACGACCCATTGTTAATAAGCAGCTCGGACACATAACGGATGCGGCAGTTACCTCTAGGGGTGACCGGTTTGAAGGAATGGGGTCTCGGTATCCAATTGTCTCTCCAAACACGAATGCTTGATCCATTGCCCACTCTCCAGACTATGCCTTTTTTCAGGAGCTCAAGTCCATAGCTTATAGCTTGCCAAGATGGGGAGGCATTACCAGAAAAGACCGTATCCTCAAGCTGGCCATCCGGGTAATACCGGGATTTTAACAGTCGAGCACAAAGGCTTTCCGGCCTATCAATCAGTCTCCAAGCTTGGCGTGCGAGGAGAGCTTGGTTGAACATTCTGTAATCGCGAAATCCAAGCCCTCCTTTACACTTTGGCTGCAACAAAGAATCCCAGGACTTCCAATGTACTTTTCTGCGACCTTCTTTAGAGCCCCAATAAAAGTTTCTTACCATCCTTGTTAGGTCATCACAAACTGAGAACGGGAGCTTAAAAACACCCATAATGTATGTCGGGAGAGATTGTGCAACTGATTTGATGAGAACTTCGCGGCCCGGCTGCGCCAGCCACCCATCTCCCCACTGTATAAGCCTCTTAGTGAGACAAGCTTGCAAGTTTTGAAACCGTCCCTTAGACATCCGACCTTCAGGTATAGGGAGACCCAAGTATTTTTCTTCAAATTCTGCCTTAGTAACTTCCAGAATAGTACGGATAGCATTCTGGCCAACTTCTGAACATGCTGGACCGAATAGTATGGAGCACTTGTTCAGATTAATACTCTGGCCAGTAGTACTAGCATACAGGTCCAAAATCTCCTTGACTTTCATAGCTTGATCTTGTGTTGCCTCAAAAAACAGCAAAGAGTCATCTGCGAATAAAAGATGTGATATCCCCGGCGCCCTTCTACAGACTCTTATAGGATTAATACTTCCAATATTAACTTCCTGCTTCAGAATGGCTGATAATCCGTCAGCAACGAAAAGGAATAAGAAGGGTGATAGAGGGTCACCTTGCCGTAGCCCACGCGACGGTGCAAACGAATCTAGATGGGTTCCATTAAGTTTTACCGAATACCTCACCGAAGTGACACATGTCATAATCCAGTCCACCCACTGGTGAGAGAAACCCAATTTCTGCATCATTTGCTTCAAGAAAACCCAATCAACTCTATCATATGCCTTTGATAAGTCGAGCTTATATGCACAAAAACTTCTGGTAGGGTCTTTTTCTTGCTTTATATGGTGGATGCACTCGAAAGCAATGAGTGCATTATCCGTGATCATTCTTCCGGGTATAAAAGCACTCTACTCCGGCGAGATAATATCATCCAAAATTGGCCTAAGCCGATTCACCAAACACTTTGATATGACCTTATAGGTTACATTACATAAACTAATAGGCCTGAAATCAGTCAACTTCGAAGGATTAGGGACTTTTGGGATAAGCACGATTGAGGTTGAGTTAACCCCTTCCGGCATC